ACGATCACCTTCAGTCTCTACCTCAATATGGGCCATTTCCTGAAAAGTGTTAGCCCATTTAGCACGAAGATCATAGGCGAGGGTGAAGGGCTTGATGAATTCTTGAAGCTCGAGATGAATTTCCAGAGGAAGATCGGGATACGCAAGCAAATCATCAACCATTTGTTCAACTTCAGTTTTAAATTCAGGGACGAGAAATGCTTGGTTGAGATCCTCAACGTAAGCCTTGGAACGAAATGATTCGAGCAAAGGTTAGAAGTTGGCAACTGACTCAGGGGCTTTCTCTGAAGCAGACGTACCGCTCGTCCAATTTTCCAAGACATCAAAGATATTATAAACTTCGATGTCATCGTTAAAAAAGATGATCAAGTCTAAATCAGCAGAAGGGATTGAAACAGGAGGTGTCATGGAAGATTCGACGCCACCTTGGTTGGATGGTGAAGGAGTAAGAGGCCTTGGAGATGTAGGACCAGTCGAGTCTACACATAAAAAGAGACAGTCACTTTCCTTTACATTTTTCTTTATATAATAATCAATAGAAATTGGCAAAGAGGTAAAGGGAACACACCAGGGACAGGACTAATGGGAGGTTTAAGCTCGAAAGATGGAGCTTCGTCCTAGGAAGAATGATGAAGAGTCTCAGCATGAGTAGCTGGATCTGATAAAGAAACTTCCCCTTGCGTGTTTTGGGGAACGGCTCCAGGGTCCATAGTAACACCCTCCAAGGAAAGGTTGACAACATTTAACTGGGTAGCCACCAACTACAAAAAAAAAGGAAAATCAAATATGGAAATAAAACAAATAAAAGAAAGATTGGTGAAGAAATCCAAACCTCTTAAGAACTCTTAGTCGAAAGGAGGACATCCTTAGAAACGTCTTGAGAAGAGGAGATATGAATTATATCAACATCCTGTGATCAAAGAAGATTTAATAAGGTGATTGAATGGATAAAGTGGACTACCGAAATAGGAAATTGAATTGCTTTAAAAATCGAATACCTTGGGGACAGATTTCATCGCATCCTGCAAAAGTTTTTCGACTTTTAGCTTAGGATCAGGTTTAGTAGAATAGGTCATTTGTTTTCCTTTCCCTTTATCAAGTTTCCTTGTTGTCGAAACCTGGAAGAATAAAAAATGAGCAAAAGGAGAGCGTGAACAGGACATGAATATAAACTACTTACAACTTTGCCACTCTTCAAATCCGCCTTGGTTTTCTATTTTTTGGTGGTCTTGAAACCCTGAAAAGGAAAAGGTATAAAAAATTGAATGATCAAAGCAAATCGAACAAGTCAAAAACATTATACCTTTGAACGCAAGCAAATCTTGTCAGAAATAGTTTTTCTTTTTCGAGGTTTCAATGAAGAATCATTTCCACCATCGTCGTCACTCTCCCATTGGGGGGTCTCATCAGGGTGTTGAGGAACAATAGTTATGCAAGATACAAATAAGAGTCAAGTGTTGATAAGAGAAATAATATCAAAATTGTTTGTCACAGACGTTTACCAGGGGGAAGGTTGCGGTTATAAACCCAACATAAAGGCCACCATCTCTCTCGAGGAAAATCGTACACGGAACATCTCGCATAAGTAACTCGATCTTTTACAGGAATTTCTTTGCGCTCGAGGTATAAAGGATCGAGAGTTTTCACCCAAAGAGGGTAAGATAAATGTTTAACTAAACAAAAACGAGCATTTGGGAGAGGGAGAATATTTTTAGGGCAAAATTTTTCAAAATCTGTTTTCCCTCGAGAATTAATAATCTTTTTTGAGCGGATGTTCCTTTGTACCATTTTCGTTAAAGAGACAGAGGCATCAAAAATGGTTCGACCAAGATTATCGGGTCAATAACAAACTTTAAAAAAAATTGCTCGAATTGATAAGTACCTGGTAGTTTTGGGCCCTGCGAAGAAAGAGGAGAATTAATCAGCTTCTTTAAAAAATCATCGAAGGTGGATATCTTGTCTACATAATATTCACACCACCAACGTAGAAAATACTTCGAGACTAGAAAAGAAGCAGAAAAGGTACAGGGGGTAAGAGAAAGTTGCTTATCAGGACATAAGATAAAATCCAAGACATCCTTATAATCTCCTTTCTCGACACAAATATCAATATCTATTCTTTCTTTACGTTGAAGAGGAAGAGGCTTCATCTGGCAGAGACCAAACTGTCGAGCAAATAGTTGAGGTTGGTAGGGGTAGATCCTAACATCTTTTTGATGCATGCCAGATAAAATCACATCCCACGATAAAAAGCCAAACCACATGTCAACAAAATTTGGGGAAATATTTCCGACTTGATTGTTCTCTCGAAGCCAAGAAGGCCCTATTAAATCTGAACGAATGAAAGGGGCTAAATCTTCAATAAATTCACTAAAACTAAGGAATGCTCGAATATATTTAGCAAAAATATTGATTGAACGTTTTCGAGGCGTAAGAGTGGTTAAACGAGCCCCTTCGAGCTGACACACCGAGGAAAGAAAAGATGAAGTTAACAAAAGTCTATTCTCTAAGATAGCATTGAGCCACAATTGCAACAACCATAATGGCCCAGAAAGATTGCGAGGACCAGACTCACGAATGAGACTTTCCAAAGCTTCATCGAGGGAAGAATATAAAGAGGCCAACAATAATTTACTCAAACAAATCTTCTTTTGCAAATGTAAAGCTTGGGCTAAGATATAGTAATACTTGGGAACTTGAAGAGAGGGAGTGCAGGAAACACAAGCAGATAGCCAATACATCAAAAAAGCAATATGCTCTGAGGTCGAGACGGGGGTATCCAATTGTCCCATATGTGCATTAATGAAGGCTAGGTAGGTCTTCTTGTCCCAAGAAATATAATTCTCTTTTATAGAAATTTCCTCCTCGAATGCATCTGGATAAAACATCCCCTATAGGCACTAAACCAATGATAGCAGCAATATCCAATAAAGTGGGACACACAAAGCCACATGAAAATTCGAAAGCTCGAGTTTCTCTATTCCAAAAGAAGATAGCAGAGAGGAGCATTTGAGGATCAAAAGCATGCAAGTCAAACTTAGAGAGTTGAATGAACTCAGATATACCAGCACCTACCCACACAGAATGCATTGATTTCTCTACGCATTCTAACCATTGCAAGTGCCTATCTTTTGTGGGTGGGAACGCTCTAAAAATTTTGGTGGTATCACCAAACAAGTTCAGGTCTATTGTAGGAGAGTAAATGAAAGGCAAAGGTAGAAGAGTCCTCTGGAAGTAATGTGTTACCAAATTTTTTCTTATTCTGACCTATGAAAGGACCTAGAAAAGCACGGGTAGTACCATCTTGAAGAGAGAAGGGAAGGAGTACCTGAGAATTGAAAATCTTGAGGCTAGCTTCCTCCATGCCTAGGATGGGGACGAAGGTCTCATCACCATCATTCACAGTACAGACCGTAGCATTGGTCATTAGTAGAGGAAAGGATTTTGTAGACGAAGCGGAAGCCAATGTAGGAGAAAGACTGAAGCAGTGGTTGAAGTAGAAGCAGCGGAGGAAGCCATGGCAGCACCGGGAAGCAAGAAGAACAAAGAAAAGCAAGAGCGAGGAAGAAAGGAGACTTGTGCACAAAGAAAGCGGTGAAAAGTAATTTTACCTTAGGTAAAAGACTTTTAAAACAAGACAAATGGGCCTGAGGGTAAAGTGGGCTAACATATCAAGTCAACTGCCAAGACGTTTCACATTAAACGGACAAGAATCTAGGGAAACGTGAGCATGCGCCGTCAAAATTCATGATAGAAGCAGTAAATTTCAAATAAAATGGTAACCGCATTTAATAGATATTCAGAGTAGGTTTTCATCGAAATAGAACAAGGAACTTTGAGAGAGATTAAAAGAAGGTTCTTGAAAGAAAGTAGGAATTCAGCTCTCCATTACTTAATCCATTCCTCGAGACTGAATTCCTAGGAGGGCATCTGTTAGGGTCTCTCGAAAAGGCTTTCGCTTTCCCAGAACTCGCTCGAAAAAGGAATCAAGAAGAGTGCTTGCCATAAACGAAGAGCAAGGGGGACCATAGGAATGTGCATAGTCGAGGGGAGATCGAAGGTTAGAGAATAGAAAGGGGTTACTAGAGATTTCCCGGACATTACAACAAGGTAGTTACTAAGGTTGTTACTAAGCTAGCAAGTCGAAGAAATAAAAACCACGTGGGTTGAACAGTTATGAGAAGTTGCGTTTAAGCCACGTAATTGGCGTAGTGAACAGCGATTATGCACCCACGATGGACCTGTACAAAATGAACCGCTCTCGACTGACTCTATAAATATGAGAAGCATAGTGCTTCACAGAGGTCGGAAAAATCATACTTGCACTCTCAAGCACTCACCGCCTGTGCATATGGTTCTCGTGCATAGAATTGCTGGGTATGATAACTTCTTGGCCACATTTTTTTTCTTTTTCTAGGATTAGTGTAATTTCGTTTCAATTCCATAGTTCATAGTTCGTTTAATTATGATATTGAAACCTGATAATTATGCGAAGTAGACAATGATTTATATTGCTAATATATGTATTGTTCATTCCGTTTATTTGAGTATTTACATGCATGATAATTATTGCTTGATAATCATTAGTGAAAATCTGGAAACGAACACTTGTTAGCCATTGTGTTTTTAAGAAAGTTTTAATTATAAAATACCTAAATTGAAACCATTTCGTACTAGTTCAAATAAAAAGAACTCAAACAAATTCCACCACAAACAGGGTCGCATGACAAAATGCTTCTCCTCTTTACCCTTTGATTTCTCTGTACTCGATACTTAATACTCTGCTAATTTTCCCGTTTTTCAGTGGAGATATCAAGCATACTGCAATTCATATATATTCATCTACATTCGATTTTGATATTTGTTGTTGTTATGTCGATGAATAATAACCGTTGGACAGCCTAACATCATAATTTATCAAATAGGTAATTTTGCAGTCATAATTCGTATTCCAATTGCATTACAATTCGTTTAAAATCCATGACGGTGACTGGTTATACTCAAAGTCAAACCTATAACTTATGCATATGGCAGAAAAAGTAAATTATAGAGAACTTGCTTTTCATCTCCTTAATCTATCTTCCTGATTAATTATTTGCGCAGAAGCACGAAAATCCATATAATATAGTGGATTATAACTAGTTTCACTAATCATACTTTACTGCTAACACTAACATTTGACGTAGCAAAGGAAGTATGACGGAGTAAGTATTCACACCCTACCTACAATACAAGTTTTTGGCCGTCAAAAACATGACAAATTAGGAATGAGGGATCATATGACAAATAGATCCTAATACTACATATGATCACCTTTAATACAATTCGAACCAAAAGCTATCCAAAAACAAGAACTTGCTGTTGCTACTTGATTAGGTTATCTTCCTAAAAAGCAACATTCAGCAGGAAGCAAGA